CCATGTACTTCTTCCATGTTCGTCCTAAATATGAATTGTATATTATTACCTATATGTTTTTTAAACAAATTATGTTCACATTATAATGTACAGTTAAACCATTTAAGTTATAATTTTAATATTATGGTATTGTAAGATTACCTGTTCATTCATACACAACATGACCTTGCAAATCCATATTATCATTAGCTAGGGCATTTTCTTCAATATTTCCAATTGCACCATGAATCTTAATTTCTTCATTACTCGGGTCCTATTAAAAAAAAGCAGTGTACCAAGTATCTTTGGCAACTCGTTTATTTTAAAACGTGTGGTYTAAGTTTTGCTTTACTCTAMCTACGTATTAATATTACAATAAAATATTATACTTACTTCAATTATTGGTTCTACATCACCATCAAACTCATTWTGAAGTCCATAAATCGTTTTTTGATTCATGACAGAAACAATGATGTCTTGGCATGCATCTTTTTTTTTAGAATCTTGCAAGGTCCTCCTCCAGTGGCAAAAACCTGATGTTTTTCTTCTGCTGCTAATTTCCGCACCTCCCTTTTTCGGTTTTCATAAAACCTCTTTAATGCCTCCGAAGTTCTGTACGTTGCATTTACTGCTGTAGCATTRACTTCGGTGGCTATTTTCTCCCAAATTTCAGTTTTTGCTTCATTTGAAACATGGYGTTTTTTTTTCCAGAATGTGCTTGTACTTTGCACAAACAGTCGCAATCAATATTTTTTTCTTCACCAGAAAAACCTGGACATCTTTGCCTGGTAGTCATATTATAAACTTTTATAACCGAAATCACGGAGACAAGTACACTAATAAGTCAGTAGTACCCGTGCAGGTTGAGCGAACCATCGAGCGCGTTCCCAGGTGGCGGATAGGGGGAAAGCCGGTCAGATACGTCTGACCGGTTAGCGACGGCCATAAGTGAAAGTCGTGGTATAAAACCCACGGATCTGGATCGAAAGCCGTGGCCGCAGACCAGCTCGTGGCACAAACCGCAAACCGCCTGCAGTGCAACAAATTCCGTGGCTTCGGCCTCGAGATAGGTGCTGCAGGGGGCACGGGGATCTTGGTTTCACTACCTGGATCGCGTGATGAGGTCACTATAACACCTCCCAATTCTTACGGTATAGTGCGCGCCAAGAGATGCAAGGCTGGGGGGAAGCCCAGCCAATAGCGACTAACCTTGAGGCAACAGGTGCACCTCATTGTATCAGCCTTGCCCACACATGCGGGGCGCTGTGTGGGTGGACCAACCTTTCCCTAGCTGCTCGTGGGAATGATATGGAGAAAACCAATATTATAACACCACAAAATACCGGCGGGACTTCCTCAGAAGAACCGTCGGGCTCCGCAGCTGGCAAACGACCGAGGGGTAAAAAACTCTCGGGAGCCGCCAGACGGAAGAAAAAAATGGCTAGGGATAAAGAAAAGTTTGGACCAACCAAAACTGTGCCAGATACACCCTCGGGGGAATCAGCACATACCAAGCGACACCGGTCGGATGGCAGCACACCGGATCAACCGCAACTTAAGCGGCCGTGTGTGGAAACTTCCGCAAGGAACGGAACCGCACACAAATCGTACAGCCAGAGGAAGGTACCCGCCAGTACCGGGGGAAGCCGACAACATGTTGGCACCTCGGGGGGGCAAGTCAACATTCCAACCCCCGCGGTTACTGTTATGGAGGTGGAGGTGATGCCATCCGGTACCGTGGAGGGCCAGAAAAGTGGCTCCTCCGGGGGGCTGGTTGGCACTACAGCCACCACCG